TCCACCATCTTGAATATGACGCCACTCCTGATAAGGTGCTACGGGCCAAATTGACCTATTATACAGGGTGTTCCTAAATATCATGTACAAACAGAAGGGGGTGATTCTTTGGTCTTACTTCACTTCTAGTTTCCCATTGAAAATGAGCAAGAATATGGCTGCGGGACCTTTATTGTCGCCACTGTAGGTAGGAAAGGTTTATTGATTCAGTAGAAAAAACTACAAGAGAACAAAAAGTTTCTAAATAGGGTAGAAAAACTATTTTATTTTTTAGAATCGAGCAGCGGCGCACCGCGAAAAAGTTCAGGGGCAGAAAAGGGGACATGACCCCTGAAAAAACATCACCCTGTAGATCGGTAACGAAGCGTTTGCGGACCTATGTTTATTAGATATTTTAGTCATAAAATTAACTAAAGAATCATCCCCTTTCGTTTGTACATGATATTTAGGAACACTTTGTATGTAAGTAAACTTTCTGCCAAAGCGGTTTATTTCTATCACGATTTGAAACGTTTTTTTGTGTAGCGCTACGACAATAACAAAATTTGGTCAATAAAAAACTGCATATTATATACCTACCTATTCATCAGAAGCTTCTGTCTTGAGAAATCCTCAGATTAAAATTTGTTATCGCATAAGTTAGACCATAATAAGTTTTTACATTTTTGTTGGACGCGATAAAAGTGGGAAGCATAATGAAGAAACATCTCGTATAACCTAAACCGCCAAATTTTACAAGTAATTTACAAATTGACCAATTTTTCTCATCAAAGCTACAATTTGTTATGCTTTCCGAAATATTTTTAAGCAAAGAATCATAAAGGATGAGAAGGTTTAGGCTCTTTCCAACATGGAGAGCATCTTAAAAGATAAATCATTTTTGGTATTGGAAGTGAATTTTTAAGCAAAAAGAACGCAGAATGAGATGATAAGATCCCTAATCTTGAGCAAAAACGTTTTAGAGTTAGAATTTTGTTATTAAGTTCAATATTTAAACTTGTATCAGTAAGAGGACAACCTAAGAGAAAAAGCTTATTAAAATCGACCACCCCAATATTTGGGGCAATAGAGATAAATATTTAAACCGCGTCTTGCTACGATGATGGTCCGTTTTCGAGTTAGGGCGGTTTAGAGTTACAACTAGGTGTTTGTGACGTCACACTAGATTATCAGGGACATTATTAACACGTGTGAGAATTTTCCAAAACAAAAGACAATTATCTCCTAGAGCGAATTGCAACCACTCAAAGTAGATAGGGTACGGTTCACTTATGACTGAACGAACAGAGACAACCCCTTTTTAAGATCACTTTTTAAGGATTTTATAATTGATGGATGTAAAGTCAGAGAAAACAATGCTGGACCCAGTGGTTCCCCTTGCTGAACGCCACGTTGTGAAACAATATACGGGTCATTAAAAGAAAGTAGAGATGGTTCAAAATATGATTCTTTTATGGAATGAAAATATTCTGGAATTTTGTTAGAAACTTCTTATAGTAGATGATCTAGAAATCATATTGGAAGGAAGCGTTTAAAAAGTCAATATTCAATAACAATTTAGGATTTATTTGATCGAAGGAAATAAAACGGCGGATAGCATGGTAGCTTCCATTCCAAATTTTGTGCGAAAACCTAGCTGAATTGGGCGAAGATAATCACCCAGGGAAACACCTATCCTTGAACAGACTATATTAGACAGTAACCTCCGGAGGGTGCAGCCTACAGCAATGGGCTCTTTCACTAAAATTTAAATACGTACCTAATTTAAGTATAAAATCCCAAAGGAGGGACTATTTTAGGCATATATACAAAAAAAAATGTTCTACGAGGTTAAATAAGTTTTTTACAAGCATTTGAAATTGTCGAAATTCAAATTGATTTTAAACGTCACATAAATATTTTTCATTTCGCTTGTTGTTGCAAGGAGCTGACCGCCTGGGCTGTGTTACCCTGTAGTAAAAGCAGGTAAAGGTTCGAATGCGCTGTTGTCGGTGGTGACTAAATGTAGTGCAACGTAAAAAAAAAAAACTAAACATAAAAAATTGTATTAAATTATAAAATCTTAAATCCATAACTAATTAATTTAACTACTTTTCATGATATTTTTCGAACATTTCAGAATTAAATCTATTACAAATTTTCAATGTTGAAAATTAGTGGCAACACGGTCAAATTGCGAGCTGCGACGTCATAGAAATAAATTCTGTGTTTTTATTCAGAGGTATTTCTTTTTTTTCTGTTTTCTCAAGAAGGACTATGAATTTTTCAAAAGTAAAAATACAGAAAATTCTGTTTTTAGTTGCTTTATCCAAATATGCCAATTTCAAAAATTAGTGAAAGAGTCTATTGGTCGAAATCCCCCATCCTTCTTTTTCAAATTCAAAGCACACAGAGTTGCTCCAAAAAAAAAAATTGGACGAATTCCCACAGGTAGGTCTTCTCCAATGACTATCTTAATGAATTTTGATAATGCATGTAACTAAAAGTGTTGCCGAAGTTGTTCCTGAACATTCATTCGACATGTCCTCCAAATGTTGTGGTTTCAGATCATCTAAGCCTCCAGCCGAACCAGTTTTAAAAGAAGATATTGCCAATTTGATATCGTTCTCAGAGACTTGAAATATACAGTGTGATTTTTTAAGTGTGCAACATATGGGGATTTTTTTTAGTAATAGCACAACTCAAATACAAACAAGGCCAAAAGTTGGTGCATGTCTGATAACCATATTAGGATTAGGTGCACTTAGAATGATTGCAAGTCAAACAGCATACAGGGAAGCTCAAACAATATCAAAGCTGTACTGTAAAGTACCCTTATTTTAGAAAATTCAGCAAAATGTTATAGAGAAAAGTTGTTTGGAATTAAAAGTTATGCCTGAGTACCAAAACATAGCCTCCTAAGATTTTTTTTATTTTATTTCGAAAAAAATCTATTATAATTTCTATAGTTTTTTTATTTTCTATTTCCGCCCTTAATACTTTCAAAAATTAATTAAAATCAAATCAATTTTACATAACTTTGTTCAAATTCAAGCAAATTTTTGAAATTAACTTAGATTTTCAATTTTTTTATGGAATCACAAAATGCATGGTTTGTTGCAATGATATTGAACACAACGTTAAAATGTCGCAATTTAGTTTTTAACAAGTTAAAACATCAACTAATGATAATAGCTATATTAAAAAAACTCTCCTTAAAGTGCAAAAGTTTTATTTTATTCAAGTAAATATTACTACAATTCTGATATTTTTTGAGCTACCCTGTATGCTGTTTGACTTGCAACCATTCTAAGTGCACCTAATATGATTATTAGACATGCACCAACTTTTGGCCTTGTTTGTATTTTGATTGTGCTATTAGTAACAAAAAATCCCATATGTTGTGGATTTGCAAGTTCACATTAATCTAGAGGTGGTGAAGGATGCTTATCTTGCAAAATTTGAAAGGTAGAATCGTCATTAGTTGCCAAAGTATCTTCGCTACATAATAATCTAACTGCGCCTTGTATATCGCCATTTGATTTTTTTTTTTTCGGTTTTTCTGGATAGAAGTTTTTCGTTGTTGATAGACTTTTTGAAAGGCACTCTTTTCTTAGAATTAACTGGATTGTATTTTTCGAATATAAAAGGAATTGATTGATTCTCTATATTTTGCCATTGGGTTAAATTATGTTTAACTGAAGAAGTGAGGGACGTCTTGCTCGATTTATCAGGTACCTACACGAAAAGTTGCGTAAGGAAAGAACAAAAGGCAGAACCAAGCTGTAATTCAATTCTCATTAATCAATAACAAGAAGGTTATGTTCCTATAGAGTTGTTTGTTTTGTTTGTTTACTTTTTAATCTAGTGAATTTTTGAGTTTAAAGTATTTTTAAATAGTAAATGCAACGTTATTCAGTTAAATTTATCTACTACTAGCGGAACCGGCGAACTTCGTAACGCCTCAGAATCAATAACTGTTAAGTTAACGCATTAGCTTAATTACATTCAGTTTTTTAAGATAAAATAATTACTAACAATAAATTATGTGGTTCAATAAATGTTCAAAAATCAAAATAGAACAAACCGCGCAATCTGACGCGGCAAACTTGGTATCGGTTATAAGACATGGCGCCGTGTGCACATTTAGTGAATTTTCTTCATAAATATGTTTTTCTTTTTCTTTTTTTTTATATGTTCCAATGTTCCAATAGTTGTTATGTAATTCGGGCCAGACAAATCCAATATAGCAAAAATCATAAAAATCGTCCTAGCAGTTCTCGAGTTATAGGTTCTGCAACCAACCCGACAGATAGATAGTACAGTTACGTCGGTTGAATGCGCAAACTTAAATAAATGTGGCAACGTTGTTTCATATTGTCGAAAAAAGTTGGGTCATGTATGTGAATAAGTTTGTTTACAATTAATTAAAAATTAATTTTTTTTTCCGAGAAAAAATGTAGCCTATACTTACTCCCTTTATATAGTGACTAAGGGCGGCTATTATAAAACTGCTTTGACAGTTAACTTGAAGTTAACTTTTTGAATTACATGTAATTCCAGAAGTTAACTTTAAGTTAACTCTCAAAGTATTTTTATAATACCCACCCTAAGTGGTATAAATTCCAAGGAGATCGGTCCAGTCGTTCTTGTGTTCTAAAAAATAATACAGTTATGTCGCGTCGGTTGAATGCACAAGCTCAAATAAATGTGGCAACGTTGTTTCATGTTCTCAACAAAAAAAGCTGGGTCATGTATGTGAATGAGTTTGTTTATAATTATTAATTAATTAAAAATATTTTTTTTCCGGGATAAAAAGTACCCTATGTCACTTCCCACCAGATAGAGACTACGTGGTTTAAATTTCAAGGAGATCGGTCCAGCCGTTCTCGAGTTATAAGTGCTTCCACAAAACACAACTGTGTTTTATATATATAGATTTCGGACCAAGTAATTAAAGCAAGCGTTTAATCTCGTTTTTGTAGCGATTATTTCATAAATTTGAAGGCTGAGGTTATACTATGCCTAGGTGCTGCAATAAATGTGAAGATGCCATTGGGGTGGAGGACAAGAACGTGACCTGCGACTGCTGCAGAGTAGCCTTTCATCTGGCCGAAGGATGTTCTGGACTATCTAGCTCTGAACAAAGAAAAGTTGTGCTCCAGAAAAGGCTCTTAATGTACTTGTGTGCTAAGTGCCGAAACGCTTTTAAATCGGCACCTATGGTAATAGAAAAAATTGAGAAGCTGCAAGATGAAGTGATCAAGCTGAAAAAAGAGATAGAGGTGCTCAAAACGTCTCCATCTTCAAATACAGAGCAAATTATATCTGAGGCCCATGAGCGTCATATTCGATCCAGAAATCTCATGGTGTTTGATGTTCCCGAGCTAGCTAATTCTGGACTACAGGAGAAGATAAGGCACGATACCTCCATTGTCCACAATATTTTCCAGAGGCTAGGATATGAAAATGAGGTTGAGGCGATAGAAAAGGTTATTCGAGTTGGTCAAAGGGTGGATGGTAAAAAAAGACCTATAAAAATAATCTGTAAAAACTCAGAAATTGTGCAGAAGGCCCTACGTGCAAAGAAAAAACTCCAAGCTGAGTCATGTCGCTATAGAATAGCTAATGACTCAACAAAGATGCAGCAAGACCAATACAAAGCTGCAAAATAGGAACTAACCCGCAGAAATCAGGAGGGGGAGAACCTTGTAATAAGGTACATAAATGGAGTACCATCTGTTGTTGCCAAAAAAGCGAGGACGCCACAGGAAAACTAGGTGCATCCCCATTGGCGGTTTATTACCAGAATGTGAGCGGTCTTCGTACCAAATTGGACATCCTAAAGTTGGCTGTGAATTGTTCCTCATATGATATAATAGTTTTAGTTGAGAGTAATCTGAATAGTGACTTTTTGGATAGCGAACTACAATGTACAAATTTTAATGTATTTCGAAGTGATAGGTCTAATTTGACAAGCCTTAAGTCCAGTGGTGGAGGTGTTCTAATGTATGTGAGAAAAACTATTGATTCTGTAAGGGTTAGCATAGTCCAGGAAAATGTCGAACAGAGTTATTCATATCGTGTGTGTACAAAGGTTCAAAATTTGTCATAGCAGGTTTATATATCCCTCCTAGGGCGGGTATTATAAAACTGCTTTGAAAGTTAACTTGAAGTTAACTTTTTGAATTACATGTAATTCCAGAAGTTAACTTTAAGTTAACTCTGAAAGTAGTTTTATAATACCCGCCCCTAGTATGCCTGACCTATATTATAGCTCTCATTGTGATTTGTGAAGCAGTGGAAAATGTATTACATAGGTATCCATCTCAGTATATTTATATTTTTGGTGATTACAACCTACCTGAAGCTGTATGGTCGAATGACAATTTTGGTGTTCAGGTTGAATGCCCTGGGACTTCATTTGCCGTACGTCTGGCACAATCGTTTGGTTACCTGCACTTATTCCAAAAGTTGGATATACGATATACCCAACAGTAGACATGTGTTTTTGGACCTAATGTTCACCAGTGACAGTAGTGTAACTGTAAGTTTAGCTAGAGATCCTATTTTTGATAGTAATCTTCATCATTCTAGTTATGAATGTATTTTAAGTAATATTCACAGGAAACATGTAAGTGGCGGTCTCTGCTACCAGGATTTTTATTATGATTTTAAAAATGCTAATTACCTGGCGTTAAATAATTTTTTGGCTAGTATTAACTGGGAGGAGAGTCTGGCACATCAGGATGTGAATAAGGCACTAGAATATTTTTATGAGGTTTTAGCATATAGCATATCATTATTTGTGCCTTTAAAAAGATACAAGACCAGTACGTTTCCGAAATGGTTTTCTTCCGAGCTACGACAACTTACTGTTCAAAAAAGGAAAGCACATAAAATTTGCATTCAATCAGGATCTCGGATGATTGATTATATGAAATTTTCTAGATTACGCTCGAATTGCAAGAGAATACGTGATATATGTTGGTCTCAATATTTGGCTAGGGTCGACAATGAATTCAAATCAAATCCTAAGTATTTTTGGAAATATGTCAGAGATCTTAAAATTAATCATTCACTTCCTCAGTCCATGATTTATGGTGAGCAATTGGCTGATAATGGCCAGGACATAACAAACCATTGTGTTTGTCCACCTTTCCAGACCTTTGGAAGGATAGTTTTATTGTTCCTATTTTCAAGAGCGGTGACAGGCACAATGTAACTGATTATAGGAGTGTATGCATACAATCATCGATTCCCAAGCTTTTTGACAGTCTCGTCAGTGATCAGTTAAAATGGATGATGTTCCAGGTTAATTAATAAAAATCAGCATGGGTTTTGTGCTGGTCGTTCAACGGCAATTAACCTAGTCACATATCATAATAAAATAACCAAAGCCTTGGAAGATTTTAAGCAAGTTGATTCAATATATACTGATTTTTCTAAAGCGTTTGATAGGGTGGATCACTATACTTTCCTTAATAGATTACATGATATGGGGTTCAGTGCGGCGACTGTTGGTTGGACAAGGAGTTTTTTGTCTGCAAAAGGTGAAAATAGGGTCTTTGGAGTCTGATGCAATTTTGGTTACATCAGGCGTTCCTCAAGGAGGGCATTGCTCTCCATTATTTTTTGATTTGTTTGTTGATTCAATTTTTGATTGCTTTCAGAACAGTGAGAGTCTTGCTTTTGCTGACGATTTCAAGGCTTTTAGAATAATTGACGACTTGTCCGATCAACAGCTCCTGCAGGAGGACCTGAACAGGTTGAGCGATTGGTGCAGTACAAACAAACTGTTTCTGAATATTTCTAAATATTGTCAAATTAGTTTTTATAAGGGGAAAAAAATATCATACTTATTTTCAATCAATGGGGAAGATTTGAAATATGTAAAAAAAATCAAAGACTTGGGGGTTATTTTTGATGAAGGCCGAGGAAGGCCTAACTTTCGTTGATCACATAAACACAGCTCAGAGCTGGGATCGTTACTTGAAAAAAGTAACGCGTTACTTTACAGTTACTTTTGCTTAAAAATAAATCGTTACTTAAAATTTACAGTTACTTTCGAATAATGATAACTTTATTTTCGTTACTTATTAGAAAGTAACGCGTTACTGTAACTTCTTTACTTTAAAAGTAGTTCGTTACTTTTAAAGTAACGCGTTACTTCAAAAATAACTATTTACGTCGAAATTTGCGTTATTCCTTAATTTGACTCACCAACACAGCAGTCCAAACAATCAAATAAGAGTCTAGCAAAAAAGTTTTTTCCGGGCTATAATGCCGTGGTCCATTAGTATTTCTACCTAACGTTTCGTCTACTGCTACGGTAGACATCTTCAGAGGCGGTGTGGTAGAGGACGAAGTGTTCTCTTCCGTGTTTCTCCGATGACTGAATTCGACGTTGAGGGAACTGCGTTATTTATATCCAGGGTTGTGGGCGTGGCTTGGATTACGGTATTTTCCTTGTCTCGTTCTCGGAAAGGAAGGGTCTTTGTTTTTCGGAGAACTGGCAACCAGCTTTTATTGAGGTTCATGCCCTCTTCTTTTTTGTTGAAGTTGTTGTGGTGTTTCTGTATCTCTATGGCTTCTCTGTGGAGCCTGGTGTAGAAATGTTTGGTTCTATCCAATGTTTGAGTCTGGTCGAAACGAATGACATGGCTTGTTTGTGTAAGCACGTGTTCGGCGATTGCTGATCTATCTATTTGTCCTTGCTGACAGTTTCTTTTGTGCTCTTTGACCCTGGTGTTGATAGAGCGTTTGGTTGTTCCTACATAGACAGATCCACAAGAGCAGGGAATTCTATAGACGCCAGCCGATTCAAGAGGTGCCCTAGGATCCTTGGCCGATCTTAGACTTTGCTGAATTGTTCTTGTGGGCTTGTAGATAGGCTTAACGTTGTGTCTTTCTAGCGTTTGTCCTATGCGATCTGTGACATTTTTGATATAGGGAAGAAAGGCTCTCCCTGCCACCTGTGCTGGTTCCTTGTTAGTTGTGCGCTGCTGCTTCGGTCTTATGGCTCTATTTATCTCCTGCTTGGAGTACCCATTTCCTTCAAGTGCCGATTTTAGGTGTTGCATCTCGTCCTGAAGGTATCTGGGTTCACAAATCCGGATTGCTCTGTCAGATAGAGTTTTAATGACTCCTCTCTTTTGCCTAGGATGGTGATTAGATTCCTTGTTGAGGTATCTGTCCGTATGTGTCGGCTTCCTGTACACTCTGTGTCCCAGTTTACCTGAGGGTAATCTTTCTAGGAGGACGTCGAGGAATGCAATTTTGTTATCCTTCTCAACTTCCATCGTAAACTGTATCCTGGGTTCTATCGAGTTTAGATGATTAAGGAAGTTTTCGAGCTCTGCCTCTCCATGGTTCCAAACAACAAATGTGTCATCTACATAGCGAAACCAACAAGTAGGTTTCTTTGTAGCCGTTCGTAGTGCCATTTGTTCGAAGTGTTCCATGTAAAAATTGGCGATAACCGGGCTGAGTGGACTTCCCATTGCGACTCCATCTGTCTGCTCAAAGAATTCATTTTGCCATTGAAAGTACGTAGTCGTCAGACAGTGGTGAAATAAGTTGTTGATTTCTTCCGGAAAAACATCTTTCAGATACTCTAAGGCCTGATTTACTGGTACCTTAGTAAACAATGAGACGACATCAAAACTAACCAGAATGTCGTTTGGTAATAGAGTGATATCACTGATCTTTTTGATGAAATGAGTTGAGTCCTTGACATAAGAGCTGGATTGGCCAATCCGTGGTTGAAGGAGGGTGGTGAGGTATTTGGCTATGCTGTATGTGGGCGAATCTATTGCACTTACAATGGGCCTGAGTGGGTTGCCTGTTTTGTGAATCTTAGGAAGCCCATATATTCTAGGTGGTAAGGCCTCAGATTTGATGAGTTTCCTTATGTTTTCCGGCTCCAACGGTAGTGCTCGGATGAGTTGATTGGTTTTTCGCAATATAGAAGCAGTGGGATTACATTTCAGCTTTCTGCAGGTGGAGGGGTCTAGAAGTTCGGAGATTTTCGATTCATAGTCAGTCACGTTCATGATTACCGTTGCGTTTCCTTTATCCGCAGGCAGGACTAGTATGTTCTCCTCTGTATTCAGGCTGCGAATAGCTTTCCTTTCCTCGTATGTCAGGTTGCACTTTGGAGGTTTCGCAAGTCGTAGAATTATCGCAAAACTGCCTCCTTTTCTCAGAACACTGGTTTCCGAATCAGTCAGAACGCGTTGGGTCAGGTTGACAACTGTGCGATCATTGCCTGTGGGTTTCGTAGTGTTTACTGGCTTCAAGGAGTTAAACTTGTTTACCAGTTTCTTGGTTGTTTTCGCTAGTGTTGCTTCCATCACGTCATACGTCATCCGGTCAACTTTGTCCCAGTCACTCCAGTGTATGCTGTTGGATAACCTTTGGTTTATCGATAGAAGATGCTTGTCCATAGCTGCTAGGTCTTTCCTGGTTTGGTGGTTCCGTTCCCGAAGCA